AAAGTTACTAGTGTGGTTATGGTTTGAGTCAGTGATTTTTAGGAATGGGATATTTAGGTCCTTTCTAGAGAAAGCCTAAAGCCAGAATGGATTTTGGTGGGAACATCTATTCCGAAGGCAACTTATGAAATTTGGTTTATTTTTCAAGAAAGTAAGTTTGACCATCTCTGATTAATGTATGTTTCAGGTGAAAAAGCAAATAACCTCCACAGTATTTTATCTTAGTACAAATTCAATAAAAATGACCTTAGCTCAGGACTTTGTAAAGTAAATGTTAGCATATATCACTGAGATGCAACAAATAGAACTAAGTATCTCTTTCTTGTCCCTCTGAGGCAAAAATAAAAAGAGCTGTACAGGTAATTTCTTGATGTAGTTTACCAGTAACATATACAATCTGATATGCACCATCACTTCCTAATATTCAAAAGCAATCTGCATCACATACAGAGGATATTAATTTTTACATACAAACATCAATTCACAATCATGTTTCTGCAAACACATATATAACCTAGGCTTATGAAATCAACTCCTTATTAATTCTGAAAATTCCAATTTCTTCCTTTACAACATTTCAATTTCAGCAGTAATCTAAGGGCCATCTATAATCTGGGCCAACAGCAGTCTGGGCCCATCAAAGCGTACTTCCAGATGTTCACCATGTATAACCAATCTCTCCAAGAAAGCACACACAGAGGAGTTATAACAGCTGTCGGTACACGCAGCTGCCAGTACCACAGGGCACAGGAGAACCACAGTGTAAAAATTCTGCTTTCACAAAGGCAATAATTTTTTTGAGTGATACCACAACTCCCCGCAGTATCACCACTGAGAAATGTCCTGTGCTGCCAGATCACCACTACATTACTTTATGCATCAGAAATCACTGTGAAGAGTGATACTCTACATTAACAGGAGTCATGTATCTTTACCTGAATTTGTAATAAAAGTTTCTGACGTTGATGATGCTACCTAATGTAAAAACATGATGAAAAAGAGTTGGCTTCATTAAACTTTTCCCTGTCCTTGAGTGGTTCCTCTGCAGCACAACCCATTTTTACAGATGGCAAATGGAGGTACTAGTGATTTAATTGACTTGGAGGGGGTTAGGAAAGCCCCGAGTGCCTTAATGTCCCTGGCCAGCCTCACCTGGGAGGCCTATAGAGGCCCCTCTTGATCAAGGGATGGAGCATGCGTCATGAGACAAGGAGCTGTGACTCTGTGACTTAAAAACGGCACCACTGAGCATTCATGTTAGTGAAGTCCTGTGACTAAATTCACCATCTTTATTTGAGCTCTGCTGCCCAGTAAGCTAATGATTAGCTTTGCTATCTGGCATTTTGTATATTTTCAGTACTAACTCTTTACTGTTTTCAGTGGAAGATGGTCAAGAGCATTAGGGCAGCATTTTCCATCACAAGACAACAGTATAAATCCACAGTAAATATTTTAGAAGCCTGTTAGTAGCTTGTATATTCCTTCCCTCCCCTTTTGCCTCTAACCTTCAGCTCGTAGGACATGTCTCAAGAGAATCAATACATGAAAACGGATACAACTGCACTTCTCCTAAGAGCTTTTACCACAGGAAGGAAGACTGTATATTTTAGCTGGTAATTCTAGCTATGCACACAGGCATTTTGAACACACAGAAATTCACAGTACCCATGTTAAGTGGAAACTTGCTCCTAGGTATCTTGAAGGTGCATCAATCCCTTGCAACCTGCTACGACACCACTGCATCCAAAGCTGTCTGAGAAATGAGATGCAAGATCTGCGTCAAGCAGTCATCATCCCTGTGTACTTTCTGCCCTCTGAAATACATGGTTAACCTTTAGTATCATCTAAGACAGCCTCAGACTGAATCAGTTAGGTAAAACATATTATACAGTAGTTGCAAATTTGACAAGAACTGTGTTACAGTGTTATCCAGTTCTCCAGCTTACTATGTGGGACAAAGAAGACAGCTTGAGTTAAAATGGAAAGTGTTTCAAACAGTGAGAAACACTTAAGTCCCGTCTTTAATATTAATGAGCATATATTGTTTCTACAGCAGTACAGCTGTAGCTGGTTCACTTCATAATCTAATAGGAAAAAAACCCCAAGCATCTACTTGGAACGCTCAGCTGGAAGTCTCAGCTCCAAACTACACTTTTAGAGTAACACAGACTTGTTTGGCAACAAATGCAGAGATTTTGAATATTATTTCCCTTCTCATGTCTGTGTAAAGAAAGAGAAGAACATAAAGCGTGTTTGAGGAAAGAAATAATCCGATCTTAAAGCACTAACATAATTCTATATGACGAGCAAAGACACATGAATAGGTTAGAGCCAGCATTTTTCAATAGCTCTTTTTCAGCTCAAGAATAGGACAACAAAGGGAAGCTGGAGAAAACAAAGTTCATCACATTCATGAAAGCATTAAAACAGCTGTGCAGTGCTGTCTCACTCTATGGAAAAGTTTTTGTTTGTGGAAGACAGTTCCTTCAGTGTGGTGTGAAGTCTGGAAAGCCGAACTTCTATTTCAGTAATAGCTAAACATGGCTGTACCTTATTTGTGATCTCCCTTCACCAAGCACATTCTTGGTATCTTCCACACATGCTACCACGAGGTTTCTGGTAACTAATGCTAAGTGGTGAAAATAATTTGCCCCTGTTTGAGTTTTTACTATAGGGCGAGTTGGTAGCATAGCTACTAAGTGTCTGACTTGACACAGCTTTTAAACTTGCCAAATATGAAAGCTTTTATGTCAGGTACACATTTCAGGGCATATGGTGAAAGGAAGGATGGGAAATTGCAGGTGAAATATTTCTCATATACATGTATATATTTATATTCTTTAAGAAGGAGAATCTTTAGATAGAAATACTTTCCTCAATTGCAGGACTGCACTGTGGAAGAACTTTGCCATCACCAAACTTTGGAAAAGGAAGCAAAAGTTTGGCATAAGGTATTCTGTAAATGTCTTTGCTGATTCAGTGAACATTCCTGAGCCTGGAATCCACCCAGATGTATCCAAATTAAAGGCTTTAGGGTAGAGGGTGAAAATTACAATGGGTACATGGGGAGTCCTGTACTTAAAAACTTCCACTATCTTAAACAGTGCAGTCCACTAAGTCCACAGAGCAAAACAGTACCCAAAGCTTGGGATACTTCCCCTCTGAATGTCTCTGGGCATGTTTAATGGACTAAACACCCATTAGAGATCAAAGCACACCTTCTGGTTTAGTCTCTTCTGAAAGGAATCCAGTCCATGTGCTTTACAGTTTTCCTGTGACAAGAATGAAAACATGCTAAAAAGCACAATTCACTTTGAAAGCAAAATCCTTATCCTAACTAAAATACTGATGGAGAAGCACTCTAGGTATGCTTCATCAAGAGCCTGAAGGAATGGAGGAGGTCGTTCTCTGTGCTTGTTCCTCCTGCTTGTCCATAACAGTCCATCACCAGGCACTGTTAATAAAAGCAAGGCGAATTTTTCTGGCACTTTTCTTTGTCCTTCATGTCCTGCAAAAGACTGTCAAGGGAAACTCAGTGATTTAAGTCACCTTACAGAGTTGATACGACTCTTATATTTTACAGAAAAAAAAATGTAAATGAATTTTATTTGATAGATTGCGGAATTAATGAAACTTACTTCTATTAAAATTACTGCAATATTTTCTTCAGAATTTACAACAGAATTTGTGCAAAACTATGGTTTCCAAATGCAGAATTTGCTTTCCATTCAAACAGAAGAGGACAGTACTACAATATGATGTGTATTTTCTCACTCCCCGGGGTTTTCAGTGGCAACATTGGGTGAAGAGAGTATACCAGACAGACAACAAGGGGGACAGCAGATAAATGGTTCTAATCCTAAGAAAATACATGATAGACAACCGAACCAAATGCAAAGACAATGGGCTGAAGACCACGCACAGGAATGAGGAAGTATTGGGAATACCACAGAATCGAAGAATGGTAGGGGTTGGAAGGGACCTTCAGCGATTACCTACCTGCAAAAGCAGTTTCACCTAGAACAGGTTGCACAGGAGGGCGTCCAGGCGGGGTTTGAATACCTCCATAGAAGGAGACTCCACAGCCTCTCTGGGCAGCCTGTGCTAGTGCTCTGTCACCCTCAAAGAAGCTTTTCCTCGTGTTCAGATGGAATTTCCTGTGTTCCTGTTTGTGCCCGTTGCCTCTTGCCCTGTCACTGGGCACCACTGAAAAGAGTCTGGCCCCATCCTCTTGACACCCGCCCTTTAGATATTTATAACATTGATGAGATCCCCTCTCAGTCTTCTCTTCTCCAAGCTAAACAGACCCAGGTCTCTCAGCCCTTCCCCATAAGAGAGGTGCTCCATTCCCTTGATTATCTTCGTAGCCCTCCACTGGACTCCAGTAGTTCGTTGCCTTTCTTGAACTGGGGAGCCCAGAACTGGACACAGTACTCCAGATGTGGCTTGACCAGGGCAGAGTAGAGGGGGAGGGTGACCTCCCTTGACCTGCTGACCACTCTCTTTGGTAGACATATTTAATAGAAATACTGAGCTCTGGTCCTTGTTCCACACCAAGAAGCAGTAATAAAGCATACTTAGAACAATTAAACAAACTGCAACATAAATACATAAAGTGAATGGTTTGGATTTACAATGTAACTGCTGACCTCCACATGTCCAGATTACCCCTTATGGAAGATAATGCCTCTCTCCCATCCTCCCCCAGATATCCTCAGGCAACCAATCAGAAGGGAATGAAGAGTAAGAGACAATAATGCAAGAAACAATGAATTTGAAATGTAGGTTAAAGTTGATGGCCTTTTACACTTTTTGAAATCAGCAATGTTTGTGCAGAGTCTGCACTGCTGGAAGTGATCATTTAACAGAATGGAAAAACCAGGAGCTGCCCCTTTGCCCCCAGGTTCATAGTTTGACAAATGAACTTTCCCGTCTCCAATAATGGAATGCAGATCTTAAGGACAGTGACGTACCACTGCTCACAACAAATGACAAGAAAGTTACTTCTTGATGCATTTAATTTCTTTTGCGATGTTCTAAGGGTATTACAAAGTGTGAGGTACGCATAGTAACAGGTCTAACAGAACTCCAGTTGGATCAGGTAAAAATGGGTTACAAAATATTAGGAAAAGCAATAAACAAAAAATACAAATGATCTTATCCAGTCACATATCAGCTGCAAATCCAAATTCTTAAACCCTTGAAAATCAGTCCCTGGAAGAGTTCATGGCTGCTCTTTCAAAAGAGGGACATTCCAGTTCTAGAAGACTAAAAGTGGAGGAACCTCCCATGCCAACCCTTTACTTGATCTTTGTTGCCTTAAAGGTAAATTGCATCCTTGATGCATGCACAGAGGTGACCTGGGTAACATTGCTCTCTTAGGACTTGTCACTGGGAGGTTTCTTCTTAGCTTCCACATCCTTCTTAAAATCTTCAAGCTTCTTTGCAATGTTAGGAATCTTTAAAGACAAAACCAGAAAACAAACAAAACCCACATAAATTAACAAAAAAACCTGAG